TTTAGGAAGTTTTTAATAAAAGAAAAATACTGCACCATCATAAGATGCAGCTTCTTTAATGTGATCTTTTGCTGTTTTTTGTCCCTCTCTACTTGCAGTCCTGGACTCAAGTGCAGATGTCAAACGAAACAACATCACACCCTTCAGCAGCCACCTGATCCAAATATAACGTTTGACTACGTTCTCCTCCAACTGTCTTTACAGCTGTTTGGAATTATTCCTATAAAACCAAATCATATCAAGACTTTTTGATAAAAGTGGCTGCTAGTTTTCTGCATGGATGTCCTGAACTGGTTTCTTTGTCACCAATCTGATCTGACTTACTTAATATTTAATGTCTGCTAATTAGTTATCAGTCTTCAAGCACATTAAAATTATTATAATCAATCCAATGTATATGCTAGACAACTGAAAAGCTCTGCAATGCTCTGTTGTAGTCTCTACATGCATGAAAACGTTTTCTAGATTAGATAAAAGAGTTAAAGGTTGTTCCACCAGGTGAGTTCTCTTACTGTTTAACACTGTATCAACCTGAACAAGCGGTCACTCAGACTACAGGCAGTTCTGTATGAACAAGCCGAGAGCATTGGGGGTTTAGCTCGGAAAAGGCAATCATGACAAAGACTTCTGTGGCAGTTAATGGCATCCAAGCATCAGAGCTCATAATATTGATTGAGAATAGTGGCGCTTATTGAACAAGAAAATTATTTAAAATTCCCACCCCCAGCATCCTGCAACAAATGACAGCAAACATAAACAAAGGGACAGGCTTTGGTCTGTGTCATTACTGATCAGTCAAAAAAAAAATAAAAATCTGATCGTCCTCGATCTCAATTTGAAGACTGGATCTAGACATCCCTATATTTTTTGCATAGCAACTTGATCTTTAAAAAAAAAAAAAAAAGAACTGATAGCAATATGCAGTAAACTCATCACAACTGTAGATACAGATGGGTCTTTGTTTTATCCGATAAACCTGGAGGAAACTGAAAGAACAGCGCAGTCCAGTTATCATTTGTGGTTGCTGTGTTAGAGGACTACAACAAATGAAGATTTATACTGAAAAAGATGGCAGTTATTGTTTAGTCTGTGCACAGGAAACAATGAAAAACAGCTGTACTACATGCTCCACAACAATAGGTGGTGGCATGCATCTCAAAGTCAGTCACTGCTACAGGTAGTGCTGTTTCAAACTAAAGCAGAAATTACTTAAGTGTTTGAATGGTAATATCCACTCACAGTAATATCTGGGAATCAACTGAATAAATAAAAAAAAACTGTGACGAAGGCCTTTTCCTGATGAAAACATACTGTACAATACACAAGCCTCACTCGTTGACCTGCCCTGCACCTGTCACTGATGAAGCACTAATTAAGAGCCTCAATGGGATCTGAGAGATTACCAATTAATAGCCTCTTAAATACAGAAAAGCATCAGTCATCATGAAAGGTAAAACTCAGCTCACAACACTAAAGAGACAGGATATTATTTCTCTGAGGCATTAAAGAGTGTTGGAGATAGACAAATCAAAGCCTAGAGCACCTGTTATATGTTCAAAACCCAAACTGAGTGTGTTACAATATTATTCAGGGTTAATTATTTGCTTGAAATTTAACCAAAGTCATCATGTTGTCATTTCATTTCATTTATTGTGTGCATATCTGAGGCAGATCTGCAAAATTGGTCAAATACATCAATTTTATTTGCCACTTTTTAAAACAAAGCTGTCAATCTCTAGTCTAAGCTTTTTCCTTTTGTCATATCATGAGTAAATTAAAAAAATGTTGGACACACACCCCAAGTGGGCCAGATTTCAACAATGTTTTAACTTTAACCAAGTAGCTAACTGATTATTCGAGAAATTATTCAGCAGATTACCTGAAAATAATCATGTATTCATCACATTGATCCTAGAACCAATAAACACTTATCTCCCACAATCTGAGCACGTCCTTCACTTCATTCTGCTGTTCTCAGTCTTTTTTATGACCTTCTCAGCATCATCATTACCAAGCTGCATTTCAGTCTGCACCAGTGACTTCTGAGTGTGTTTCATGAGTATGTTTGTTAGTTTTAACAAAAGCAAGAATAATGTATTTAAAAAATAGCCCTCATTCCAATAATGCATTAAAGCCCTTGAAAATAACATGATATAGCCGATAGCTGCTCTGAGTATGAAAGTAACTAACAAAATATGGCAACAAGTAACTTCATAGCAATAAAAACATGTTACTGTTTTACTGTAAGCTGCTGTAGTTAGAAAAGTTATGATCAGGCTAAGGACACAATTTTTACCAGTGACACAGGCAGCAGATTTGCTCGATTACTATTTATTTACGGAATTGTGTTATGGGGGTTGATGGGTGAACAACCTTTTCTCCTCACCAGCACCTGCATCACTTCTCCTGGACTATTTAAAGGGTTGGTCACCCATATTAGTATTAAATAAAATGTAAGAAAACAAGTACATCGAGGTACACCTTTCTATATGACTTTAGCTATAAATCACCATTCATTAGTCTAATTCCAAAGCACTAGTATAGCTACTATAGACTAACCATAATATTTATGTGGAACATGGGCAAAGCGTGGAAATAAAGAGGGATGACCTTACTTTGCAGAGAGCACAGTATCTTACATTTCACTCTGCAAAAACCCAAAGGAACGATTGGCACATCTACTTCATGATACGGCTATAACTTTTCAACCAGTGACAATGTCCACGTGCTATAAGAAGACATGCATCCTAAAACACCATTCAACTGAATAACTATTCTCAATAAGACACAAAAATATAGACAACACTCTACACAATGACAGTCATAAATGTGACCCAAAATTAGGGATGTCCAGATCTGCTCTCAATGATCTGGGACTTGTTTATGGATTTTTTTAGCTGATAAGAATGAGCACAAACACCACCCCTGATTTTGAGATTATGTCTGCTGTCAAACAGATGTACTAAAGGGAGAGCAAAACTGGCAGCAGGATGATATTGGGGCAAATTTCAGATGATTTTCCTAATTAATAATAAGCAACACTGTCAATCAAATACTGATCAAATAATACCACAAACTGAGCACAGGGAACATTTGTCCCTTGCTGAAATAGCTATTTTAGTCAATGATTTTGGAAAAAAGGCAACATTGCCTTCCTGGAGCTTTACACAAAGCCTTGTGACCACCTTTGTAACAGGAATAGCTTGGATGCAGAAATGCATTTTTTTTTTTTTTTGCATTCAGCTGAATTTTGCAGTTGTCAAGGATATACACTAGATTGATTTTAATAACTTTGTTGTACATCAAGTGTGTTTTACCTAGGAAAATGAAATCACATTAGGACTTGGCATCAGTAAATACTAAATATTAGGTGACTTGGAATGAATCAGGGACAAAAATTAGGACATCCCCACCCCAAATTGCAAAATAGATTAATTACTAGAACTGAATGCAATTGCATTCCATATAGATCCTTAAAATCTTGCAGGGGTCAGAATCTGCAGGGATACTTTTACAAGTGGAAATGAGCGTTGACAAATTAATAGAATCCGTCATTACAAATGCGAATTAGCGTTCATAAAATTCCAATCTGCACACAATATATACTATATATTTAATTAAACAAGTCCCTATGAATAGAGCTCTGAAAGTAACTGGAATGAAGAAAAAAACATATTAAGCAGATAACATTTAACATAGCAGGCAGGAAAGGTTAACAATCAATCAAAAATAAATTTATCTCATTCATAACCCTCTTGACCCTTCCTGCCTGATAAAGATTTAGCACCACAATGTCGCAATTAAATATATTTCTGCAAGTTAGATAGTGTCTTTTTAAAACTCAAAAATAACTTGAAAATGGTGCAAATATCAGGTGAAAATCTAAAGACCGCTTGACTGTGCTGAGCCCCAACGTGTCAAGACACCACCAACCCCCTCCCCTTATATTTTAGAGGAAATTATTCAGTAACTAATCAGAGAAATGCTTGCTTTCTTTAAATTCTCCAAACAAAAACCACTATTCACTGCCCATTTTGTGATGGGTTTTTCACATGTGCAGATTTGCAAGGCTGAAGTAAAAGGGTCTTGGCTATGTTTTCACCTCAACACTGATCCAAACTAACTCAACCTGGCTTCATGCCAAGACAACATGTTATTGTGCCCATGATACATTCAGGAAGTCATGGCCAAAGGGGAAAAACAATCACACACACTGCAACACAACAGCAACAACCCATGCATGTTAAAACGACAGCTGTGAAGCATAGTCTAGACGAAGTCAGACAGGCTTGTTACTGTAAAACATGCTTTTCTCCCTGTGTTAATTTACCTGCTCATGTGTTGATGATGGCAGCAATGCAAAAGCAAATCAACACTCATCTCTACATGCATGTATCTCCTGCTGCAACAATACTAACAAACAAGACGCGCTGCTGAGATGTGCAGCAGATCAGAACAAAGCATTTCAGCAGTCTGTGTGATGTGCATGAGTCCTGCCTCACTGTATCTGTATCTGTGTGTGTGTATCTGTGTGTGTGTGTGTGTGTGTATGTATTACCCATCACTAGAAAAATTTTAAAAAAAAATAAGCAGATGTTTTGTTTCACCTACCTGCCTGTGGCTGCTCGATTAACGCAGATAATGTTGAGGTTACGGTTAACGAGCGATTTACAGTACACTCAAGAGATCAGAAACGGTGCCGTTTTGGTGAAATGGCAGCGGTGCTGGTTGTGCAGAAGCCTCGCAGTGTTAAGTTTGTGTCTTGTAAGTGGCAGCGGAGGACTGGAAACGGAGCTGAGTGTGTGGAGCCTCTTTAACACGCTGCTGGCTCTGGCACCGTTAGCTAGCTAGCTGGAGGCTAATTAGCTAGCGCTGCTAAGTTTGTGTAACGCTAGCCTAAGTGTTAGCTACACGGTTAACGAAAGAGGCTAAGAGATAGTGTAAAAAAAAATATGAATAGTATTGATAGTAATATTAATAATGACGACATATGAGCTTACCTTATGTGTGCGCGCCAGCTGCCAGACGATGAAGCCGCTTAATTGTTGCGTTAGCTCGGCTAAACACTGTTAGCTTAGCCGTAGTGTCGCAGTCGGAGCTAACAAGGCAAGGCTGCTTGATGACCGTTTAATCGAGCGTAGTTGGGCTGTTAATAATAGCTTTTTTCACACCAGGAACGCCCATTAGTGTACTATTCTAGGCTTGAATTTGCATCACCTTTATTTATTAAGAATTTAAAAACTAAAATAACTGACTAGCAATTAGAATATAAGCTGTAGCAGTGTGTGCTTTGGCAGCTCACTACACCTTCCTCATTGCTCTGTAATATATTCATGAGATCACAGGGCTAATGTCTCCCACAGAGAAAGGCATTTTCCTTCCCTGTCCCTCCTCCTCCTCCTACAAAGTCTGCCTGCCTGACTGCAGACCAGAGCAGCAGATCATTTTAGAGCAAGAAGAAGGAGGAGGTGGAGGATGGGAGGAGGGATGAACTG